GGCCCTGGCCCGGCTCCTCGGAGCGGGGCGGGTTGGCGCCCGCGGTTGCCGCCTCGGTCTGCGCTGTGGTGGGGAGGGGGCACGCGTGCTTCGCCCTCCTGGCGCTGGGTGAGAGGCTGCGGATCCGCTTCGCTCGCGGCGTCGCTGTGGGGCGGCGTGCGGCTGCGGAGGGTGCCTGTCGCCCTGCCGAGGGGGTGGGCAAGGGCCGGGCAGGGGTCGGCGGGTCCCTCGGTGACACTGGCTGCCTTTCGCTAACGTGCGTGAGTGAACACACACGTGGGCCTGGAGAGGTTTCCTGGGGAGTTTCGCTCCGATGCTCGTATGTGATCCGATGGTGGTTTAAGCCCACAAAACAGATAGCGACAAAAGGTCCTTGAGCGCTACTGGGATTATCTCCAGGCTGTGAGATTATGTTCATAATCCCCACATACATCATGTCTACTCAACGCACTTGACATGTGCGTTAAAGTAGTCATCCGGTAGGAATGGCATTAACACAGCTGTGTAAGTCAGTCTTAAAGAAAAGATTGCCTATACCTGTCTTTGCTTTTTGTCTGAGGACTAATGCATTCCACCCAAGCTTGAGCTGCTGTAATTGCGCATACGTTCTAAATAATTAATACGTACTATACTGCTGTTGTCTGTACGATTAAAAAAGACTTTGATTGACTTAAAATAGCACTTCATAGTGATGGTGTACTTATGTACTTAAATCTTATTTACAAAAAGGATGTTTGGAGGTAGAGTGGGGGGAGCGAGACAAATTAAGAAAACTCCCCTTAATAATAATGGAATAATAACTTCACTGTGTACCTGCCACAGTCTACTACGAAACATGTCATTCTGTCTTTAGTATATACTGCTGTGTTACATACGCAGTACTGTTGTGTGGAACTAACTGGAATATTGCAGGTGGCAAGTAAGGTCCCCACTGTGCATTCCTGACATGCATAACACGCAGCTCACATTCATATGAAGTTGCACCCTATGAGTTACTTATTTCTTGAGTTTGTTGGAGTCGTCAGTGTTCTAGGTATCTAAGGAACCTGTTGGTTTTGGTTGCTTGTTTTGGTATTGCATTTTTTTTTTTTTAAGGTGGCAGTTAAGGAACACTTGATGAGGTTTCCTTTCCTCCACTTTTGGTTGTGTTGTGCTGTTGCTTTCTCGAAGTAGTCTAGGAATTCTAATATGTGATGCTTCTTATGTTGTATGGTAGTGCTAGGGACTAAAATTATTGAGATTCCCATTTTCAGAATGCAGTTTAATCGTCTCTTGAAAGGGTGACTAATGATCTCTTTTGCAAATTGTTCTCTTGGTTATCTAGAAGGTTTATTACTAAGGATTTCTTAGATGCAGAAACTTATCTGTTTTTTTTCCAGGTGTGGGCTTTTCTTTGTTTTTTATGAAGAAGTGCCTTTTAAGTTCAGTGTACTATTTGATCTTGGCCTTTAAGCGCTACCTGCAAGGAATAAATAAGAATTCCTTCATTAGATGAAGTGGTTTTATGATTCATGAATTGATAATCACTGCCTTAGTTTTTAAATGACTGTGAAAATCTCCAGCCCTGTCTACCTCATCCCCAAATTTGTAGCAGGGTTACACTTGCTGTGAACTAATAGACCTTTATTGAATTGCAAATTAGCTGTATGTTGAAACTTCGCATTAGACGTAGGAGAGAAGGTACAGCAAAGTATGCTTAACTTCCTATAAATTTGGATTTTGGTGAGGTTCCCCCCCCCCCCCCCCGCCCCCCAGCGGTTTTGGATTCTATACTTGTCCTGGATGCATTCTTCCTACAAGGACTTAAGTAATGCTGTTACGTGTTTCTTTGCATACAGTCTTAAATGAGTATATTTTTGTTGGTGTATGGTTGAAATTATGAAATAGAACCCATCCTAAATGGGACTGGTAAGCCAAATGAGCAGCTTTTGGGAGCTCTCCATAATTTAATATGGATGTTTGTAATTTGCAGCACTAGAGTTCAAAGATGTCTGGTGTAAATGCAGCTTTTTGAACTTGATGCGATTGTGTGTTGTCTGTATTTCAAGTAACCTTTCTTAAAAGAAAGTGTTAATTCTAGACTACTGCCTATGCTGATAGTTTAGCTTTGTTTCAGAAGCTTAACAGTTATCAGCTGAATCCTAGAAGTGAAGGGAGGAATGGAAATTTTTTTCTTATGGAAACTGTTTAAGAACCTATGAGACTATTTGGAAACTCAATTATTCAGCAAAACTTCAGTTTCATTAGCCACATCATTTAAACCACTTAAAACTGTTTCTTAGAAACTACTGGTTTTGCTTCTGCTTTTTATTACTTTAATTTTTTCTTCATTTGCCACCTGAAGGATCCTGTGAAAAATTTATTCAAATCAATATTGGTGTCTTTATGGGACAGTAGACAGCCTTGATGAGCCTCAGGACAGCTGCCATTCCAAAGCAAGCAGAACAAGCAGAATCTGTTTCTTTCTTTGCTATTCTGCATTTTTGCATCTTCCAGAACGCTGGCTGATGAGCCCAAAATCAGTTATATTTGAAAGCTGGTCATAATGCAGTCCTTGCGGAAACCACGGTAGAAATGGCAGCTGTGTTTTGCATGTATAACCATACCAGTAAAGCCTTGTCTTTGAAGAGTGGTGGTACTTTGAAGTTATGGGCTATAGAACCATTGTTTCTGCATTGGGCATGGGAGAATAGTACTTTGTCTTTTGGTGTTTAGAGCTCTTAGATATATATATTTAGAACCTGAAGAAGTCAGATGAACATGTCTGTTTTGTGTCAGATACAACATGTAGTTGGAACTGCATTGACTTACCACTATAAAGCAGTTAATGATTTGTCAGGTGTAGTTTGTGACTTGTTTTGCTTTAAATTGTGCTTGAGGGAAGATACCAGGGATTGAAAAATCATCTGCAAGTAGCATCAACATCTGCATATGCTTTTTCATAAGCTTATATTTTTTAAGAAATCCAGATGCTCCACCTGCTAGTGGTGACATTTTGAACATGAATCAAATACCAGTGGATGTAATATTTTCATAAATCTGCAACAGCCAGCACCACTGTCTTTAATGGTTGTAGCTGTGTCAGGTTTCCACAGTGCTAACTCATATTTGAAACTGTCAGGTATCAATCTTTCTATTCAGCTTGAACAATGCTGACACCATCCCAGTTCTCATTGGTTTAAACTTTGAGTACCTATGAAAGCCGCAAGAGGTGTGGAGGCTAATCAAGGACATAGGCATTGGAGATGGAGCCCACAATCAGCCTGTTGGATGGTGTCATTTTGGGGAACCACCCTGACACTAGCAAGAAAGCTGGGATTGGAGTGTTCTTTTTCCCCTTCTAGCTTTGTGGATTACTAAACATTTAAGAAAAGAAGAAACTGTCAAAAGACCTTTTTTTTGCTGATTCTTCACTTCCTAAGAGCATTTGCAATTCAGAAATGATTTAAAAACTTCCTCCAGCTAAGAGGAGAGAAGACAGCATCAAATAAAATCAGGAGCTTTTTAGCTGAATGTTGACTCACAACACAAAGCATAAGATCAGGGATATTATCTTAGAAGAAATCCAACAATCTTCTATCTCCTACCAGGGAAATGTTTGACTCTGCATGAATGAATCTTACTTCTGGGAAGGCTTGATAAAGTTTTCAACTTGAATCTGAATGAAAAGAGAAGTGGTACAAGATGAATAAGTAAAATGTATATAATAAGGTCCTCTCCAAAGAAGAAAATGAAGATGATGTAGAGAAGATGTGTAAAGATTTAAAGAATGGGGCCAGTGTAGGAAAACATGCTGTACAACCTGCTAGGGTAAAGCAGAACATGGAGAAGAATGGAAAGTTGGAGCAAATGGAAAAGTGAGAAAAAAGCTTAGTATGGTTACTTTAAAAACCTGGAATTTTTAAAGTTAAGATGTGTTACAGTATACGTACTAATAGACATACAAACTTCAGTAATGGACCAGAAATTCCATTGTGGGTAGGTGTTTGAACCTAGTATTACCAATTTAGAACGGTGTCTGTGGCTCGAAATACTTTTGACCCAAATACAAGTTGAGACAAGGTGACATTAAGCCAGCATTGATCAGCAGGTAGATTATGGCCCATGTATGGGCAGTCTAACCACTGTTGAAATTCTTGTTTATGGAGCTCAGCAAAGGAACCTTAAGAACAAAAATAAAGTGATTTAGTAGATGTTTTGGTAGCTTCTCTAGATAAGGACAGCAGGGTGGGAACTGACGTGAATGAGTTGGGAGAAGGATGATGGCATCTTGATTGGCAGTGTGGGAATAAGCCATGAGTGCCCTGGTAGCAACCGTGTGCGCTTTTGTTTATTGCAGTGATAGGCAGAGAACAGCTGCTAGATGGGTGTATAGAAAGGAGACTTATGTATGAGGGAAGTGATTTTTAGCAGCAGTATTCTAAACGTGTAATAAATGTGTATCTTAGTGAGGTAAGATTTCATTGCTCAAGGCTAGGCAGAGCACGTTGTAGTAATAGTGATGCACATAAAACCAGCATCAGTTTTCCAGTTATGTGGCTAGATTAGAAAAACTTTGTGTTCTGCAGCTTAAATCTTCAAGACCTGGGTATGTAGAGATGATCACATTGAATGTGATGCTTAGTTTTGTGGCCTTCATGACAGAGACAGGTGTTGTTGCCAAAAGAAGTGGTAAAAAGGGTGGAGGGAGGTTGAGACATCCGTTTGGCATACAGAGCAAAATCTGGTGTCTAGAAGTCCAAGGGAAGATGACAGAAAGCTAAACAAAAATCTGAGTTTATAACTTGGAAGTTAGAAGTCAGATTTGGTGGAGGTGGCAGAAGTGTGATAGTAAGCAGATCTTATTTTAACACTGAAGTTAACTCTGTGAAAGATACAGATATTGTAAAGACTTTTCACTCTTCCTAGTGTACCCATTCTTTGATCTCATATTTCTAGTAAATTATTTCAGGCTATTGTGATGGGATAGATAG